ATATTATTACTCTAAATTTCTAAATCATAATTTTGATTTGTAATATATTATTACTTTAAAATTTCTAAATCATAAATATGATTTGTATTATATTCTAGAGCAATTAATTCGAATATCTACTGAGAGAAAAATAAAAACTTAGTTTTTTTTTATTATTTTAAAAATATCTATAAAAAGAGAGAAAAAACAACCTTTATTTCTATTCATTGAATCATAAGATTTGATAACCGAAAGCAATATTGGTGCTTTCATAAAAATAATTAAATATTTTTAATTATTTATAATGTCTATCAAAAAAGATATTGTAGCTCCCTTTTCAAAATTTTTAAAAATTAAACAAAAAGCATTCTATGAATATTTTATTGTATTAAACTCGATATCTTTTAAAGATATTGATTTTAATTGGTTATATATTATTCTTTATAAACAAAGAAAATCAAACAAAAAGTTTGATTTATTAAAATATACTGAACATATACCCTTTTTTACATTTTTTAATGTAAATGCAATTGTAACTTTTTAAAAGAACAAAAAAAATTTTTGAGAAAATTTATAGCAATACGATCCTCATTATACAAATTGGAAATATTCTTTTAGAAAATATTATCGTTACTTTAAATTGTTATAAAGTGTGGATAAAAAATATTCTAAAGAAGAACAATTAAGTTCTTTGAATGAAAAAGGATCCTTAATGAAATTTAAGAAATTATTTTGAAATTTAAAATTAGATTATGATTTATTTCTTTGAGTTAAAAATTTTAATTCTACTAATACTTTTATTTACAAAAATGAACAGAAATTACTTAAAGAATTTAAAGATAAAGTTATTAAAAGAAAAAAGAAAGCAAAAGATATTGATATTGAAAAATTTACAGAAAAAGAATTAATTATCTTTCTCAACAAAGTATTGTCTCTATTGAAAGATTAAATGAAGAATATGTATTAAAATTACCTGAATATTGTCCTAAATCTCTATAATTTTAATCAGTACAATTTTGTATCGATTAAAATTTTAATTATATAATTTATTAATCAATATATTAAATAAATTAAAAATGCCTAAAAACTCAAAAAAAAATGGTATTAATTCAGCTCTTTATGATAAAAGAAAACCAAGACCAATTTTTTCAAAAAAAAAATTAACTTTTATGTTTCTAAAAAAGAATGGCAAATGAATCAAATTCTTCTTGAAAATTCTCTTATTAATTGTTATCCTTGTCTTGAAGAATGTTTAGAAGTGATTGAAATTTTGAGAAATATTCAAAAAAATCAAGCTACTCAAATTGATGACATTAAAAATAAAATACCTATAAATAGAAAAAATCCTAACTATGAACGTGCTTCTGAATAGTTAAAAACTCTTAATGGAATTACTACTGGTATTAATATAAGTTTAAAAAATTATAATGATTTAGAAACTAAATTTAAAGATGAAAATGTTGAAGAGATTGAATTGTAAACAATATTATTATTCAGAATTTCATACATGTAATAGTAAATATATTTTTAATCAAAATGAATATATTAATAATGATAATAAAGTTAGAGTATTTCTATTTGTACACTATGTATATATACACGTATCACATGATACTGCATTATCTAATCAGATTGCAAGAAATAAGACATTAATAAAATAAATTTATTTATAGAATACTATATATAATTAACTATAATAACAAACATATAATTTATTATAATAATATATATGTTACGAGTCAAGTTGGTTTTTAGGTCAAGTTAAACTTGACCCAAGTCAATTTAATTAATTAAAAAACCTCGGCTAGCATCAATATGATTCTGGTTCGCACTAATCCTAATATTCTGCTAGAAGTCATTTTAACCCAGATCACGTTTAACTTGGTCTAAAAACCAACTTGACCTGTAATACATACAATTTACAAGAGAAAAAATTTCTTAAACCAAGTTATTTCTCTACATTATTACATCACAATTATTTAACTATTCAAAGAGTATAAATCTGAATTTAGTAGTCTTGTACATATATACATACGTATGTATATACATATACATACCAGATACGCATGTACGTACATATGTACGTATATATATTTATTGATTCTTATTGTATTTTGCATATTACCAAATACCTGTTTTGTAGCATATACACCTAATTCGCATGTATATATCTAACAATAACTAGTATAAAAATATAAAAATAGATCATATATATACTAATATACATATATATATAGCAATTTTGTAACTCACATAGGCGCAGAGAGTTTAAATAGGCAACCCCC